AACAGAGTTGGAAGGGATCTTGGAAGTCTTCTAGTTCAACATTCTCAAGCAGGAGGCCATACTCCATTTCAGACAAGTAGCTGTCCAGTCTCTTCTTAAAAGGCTTCAATGATGAAGCACTCACAGCTTCTGAAGGCAAGCCGTTCCACTGATTAATTGTCCTAGCTGTCAGGAAATTTCTCCTTAGTTCTAAGGTTGCTTCTGTCTTTGACTAGTTTTCCATCCATTCTTCTTGCCTTGCCTTCTGGTGCTTTGGAAAATAGGTTAAACCTCCTCCCCCCACTTTGTGGCAGCCTCTCAAATATTGGAATAATATTGAATAATAATATTGGAATAATATAATAATGACAAAAAAGATGATTAGGGGACTGGAGGCTAAAACATATGAAGAACGGTTGCAGAAAGTGGGTATGTCTAGTTTAATGAAAAGAAGGACTAGGAGAGACATGATAGCAGTGTTCCAATATCTCAGGGGCTGTCACAAAGAAGAGGGAGTCAAGCTATTCTCCAAAGTACCTGAGGAGAGGACAAGAAGGAATGGGTGGAAACTAATCAAGGAGAGAAGCAACTTAGAACTAAGGAGAAATTTCCTGACAGTTAGAACAATTAATCAGTGGAACAACTTGCCTCCAGAAGTTGTGAATTCTCCAACATTGGAAGTTTTAAAGATGTTAGATAACCATTTGTCTGAAGTGATATAGGGTTTCCTGCCTAAGCAGGGGGTTGGACTAGAAGACCTCCAAGGTCCCTTCCAATTCTGTTATTCTATTCTATTGGATATGCTTAGCTCCTTTACAATTTGGGAGATTTGACATGTTAACTCTGGTCCATTACTGCATATTTAATGTGGAATGACAAGAAATCAAAAAGCAGAAAGAGCAGCATTCTTGGTGTAGGACAGGCTCAGGACTAGACTAGGCATCAACTGGCATGCAAGTGGTGGAACTAGGATGCAATTGGTGAGAACAAGACAAAAATGAAGTGTTGCCTATTATAAATCTTTACTTAATTAAAAATAAATTGAATTAATCGAGTTACACAATTATTTCCATATACTTAATCTTCCCTCCTCTGTCTCATCATAAGTTATAATTTGACAGTAACTTTAGGCTGCAACCATATTTCTGGGGCTTTGAAATTGAGAGTAAGCAAATTACTATATAGAAAAAGTTATAGAAACACATCAAATAGAAAAATGCAGATACTTAGGCTAAGCTTCTAATTCAAAGTTTGTCCATATGGATTTTGTGGAAATGGATATCACAATGTAGCATCATGGCTGATTTTTATTTATTTATTTTTTAAAAAAGCTTCTTTCCCCCTTTTGTTTGAATTAGCCAGGATCACAGGATAACCCACCTGAATTCTTTGGGATCTGGTATATGTTGCCCAAGTGTTTTTCTCTATATTCAATTGCCAAACAGACAATGCAGAGATTATTATTGTTCCTGCTTTTGGAACTTCTCATTTCCCAATCCTTCAAAAACCGGGATAGAAATTATTAAAGTCTTCTGCATTGTCAAGAGGTCCTTCCGATAACCGTTCATATGACTATGCCCAGAAGAAGAAGAAAAAGTCATGCTAAATATCCCACTGTAGATATTTAAAGGTTGGTGTACATCAGTCAATGTATTAGGATTCACCCAGTGATGGGATTCAGCCAGTTTGTACCACTTCGGGGGAACCAGTTGTTAACTTTCTGAGCAGTTTGGCGAACCAGTTGTTGGAAGAAATCATTAGGACAGAGAACCAGTTGTTAAATTATTTGAATCCCACCACTGGATTCACCCCCATATGATTTTTCCCCATCAGGGTCTATTCAAAAGAATTTGTATTTTAATCCAATTCTTTTATGTTATCCAATCATTTTTAATTAGCACTTAACTGTTGATGCCTACATGAAACATGGTATTAACAAAGGCTACAGAATTCATTAAAACTGAGAGATCTACCTAGAGATCTATTCATTAACTTGACTACTATCCCGCAATTGAAATGAAAGACTGAAGGACTGCAATCATGCAATCATATGCATTTTATTTTATTTTTTCCCGATATAAATCAAACTTACATTGCTGACTCTACACAACAGTCCAGTCATCCTGGGAAGAACCGTGGCTTCATGTCTGTTGTTCGCAGAGTATTTTATAATCACATTCTACAGTTGCTGTTATCACTGCTTTTATTATGATAATTATCCTAATTGTTTTACAACTGCAGATCTGAAGCAGCAAGATTTCAATTTGTTTGAACAAACTATTATAATGTAATATTAACTAACCCATTCGCCAGCTTTCATGCATTTTACATTTTGGCTAATACATTTCAGAGTTTTGCATACTTCCTGCCTTTTAGCAGGGAAACTCATAATTCAGCCAATTATACAGTAGAATATTTGTCTACCATTATGGCCACCATCTTGATCTTCTTTTGAAATCACATTCTGTTTCTTTTCATCGCTATTAACATTCAGATAACTTATTCAGTAACATTGTTGGTCCTCTCTGAACTCAGCTTGTTTAGCATGAATTAACATTTGCCTAATTGTTTGTGTGTGTTCATTAAAATGCCTACCATAACTCTCCCAACATCAATTTCCCAATTACCGACATTAACTTTTGTTTATATTTATTTGAATATTTTAAAAGACCAAAATAAATGCAGCTTCTGGGAGGAAAAAAAAAGTAAATGATAGGAAATCGAAAGGTCAGAATCGAAGAGTTATGCCACAATCATAAAAGAGAGTATCTTACTTATGAAGATCAAGGCAGTCGCAGTGGCGCACATAGAAAGCTGCCAATTGCAAAATCTGCTTTAAGCAAACAGTTTTCCCCCACCGTAAATTATTTAGTGTGAATCTGTCTTAATAGTTATCGGGAACATTTTTAAGGGAATGAACTAAATGTTAATTTCCTCAAAGGGATTGAAATTTTCTTTCTTTTTTAATAAGGGGGATCATTAACATTTAAAGGAGCGAGAGAGGGGGGAGAATTAAAAGTTTAGAATTTGAGGGTAGCAACACTGCATGAAAGGAAAGGTGACATAGTTTGTGTCAAACATGCACTTCATTATAGGTAGCAATATTGTGGAATCTGATTTTTTTTCTTTAGAAACTGCTTTTTTTTTTCATTGCAAGTAATATACAGGGGAGATTCTAATCAGGATCTCACTGAGAGTATACGCTAACTTTGAGCCTACCATATAGGCTACAATGAATAGGTAACATGCCAGCCAGTGATAAGAAGACTCAAATTTAAATGAGTAAATAAATCACCATGAATACACAACTCAAAGCTCCAACCATTACTTTCAGCTCCACCTACTGTTCACTGTCCTGTTTTCCATCATATTGGCCCAATGGCCCAGCTGTCTTTAATCAGTGGAACTTGTCTCCAGAAGATTTGGGTGTTCCAACACTGGAGTTTTTAAGAAGAGATTGGACAAACATTTGGACAAAACATTTGGACAAAAATAACAGAATAACAGATATGGAGGTCTTCTACTCCAACCCCTTACTCAAGAAGGAGACTTCTTGAGTAAGGGGTTGGAGTAGAAGACCTCCATATCTGTTATTCTGTTATTAATTCTGTGTAACATAGTATCCTGTGTCTATGGAGATTCTCAGTCATCCAGGTCATGGTTGTCCCAAAGATGTTTTATCAAGAGGCAACTGGACTTTCTGGTTTTTCTTTCAACACATTTCAGTTCTCCTCCAAGGAGCTTCTTCAGTGTTGAAGGAACTTCTTGGATTGGATGAGAAGCGAAACATCTTCAAAGAAAAACCAGAAAGTTCAGTTGCCTCTTGAAAAAGCACCTTTGCGACACAGTATCCTGTGTTTGCAGTTCAAAGTTAAAAAAAAAAAAGAATTATTCTGTAGAAGACGGTAATGATAAACTTAGACAAGATAATAAAGCTAAGAATATTTCTGTAACAACACTTGGAACAATTAAACGAAAGGTTTTCAGAGTGATTAATGAACAGCTATGAAAGTTAGACTTTGAGAAACAGTGAACTGTAAGAAGGACCAATCTTTGTTCTTGGTCAAATAAAGACTAAACACTGTCTTGAAATGGTGACCAGCAAGCAGAAACACATACAGGTGCATATGGTGGTAGTCACTAGAGAAACAAATGGTAAACTTGAAGGAGACTTATTTATAAAATGTACAGGCTACTTCAATTATAGGAAATTTAAGAGCCCCGCAGCCAGTGTAGAACAATACAATAAAATACAGTTGTCTGATTTCAGGCAATACTAGACAATGTATGATCTTTTGGATCATCCTTTGAGATAAAAGTAGTGCAGTCTGATGTGGCCAGAATGAACATTAAATTTTAGGCTGACCATATTATTTTACTCCAATGTTGGACGGTCCTGTGATCATTTAAGAAGAGTGTGTATTATAAACAGTAAAATAAATGCAGAGGCAAACAAATAGGAGTAATAAGTCAATATTTACTTAAGTAAACATAAACAAGATGAACACAGGTGGGCAAAAAAGTGGGAGGGGGAGCAACTTCCAACTTCCTGCCAGTTTCCCCATTGACTCAGCTTATAAAACACTGGCAGGGAGCAGCAGAAATCATTACCATGTGACTGCAGGGATGCTGAAGCTGCCACAACTTTGCAAATGAAAGTGTCTGAAGATCTTTGAAATTTTAGTTCTACCGAAGTAATGGCTCCTTGATTTTTTTTTTTTTTTTTGGTGCATTTTTTAAGTTAGGGTATTTGAGGTGCTTTGATTCAAAAATTGTTGTGCTGTGATGCACTCTGATCTGGGCTAATTGAAGGGTACCAACAAACAATAGACAGAAGTAGTATGTAGACAGAACAGTACAATAAAATCTAACTGCCTTAAAAGAACAGGGATGATGACAGACATCTCAGGATTCAATAGCTCTAAAAAAATGAGAATTCAGTTTTTTATGAAGAAGAAGAAGAAATCATCTTTGTAGGGCAAGCTACATTATTAGAGAAATGAAGAATTTCACAGAAATACCTGATTTGAGACCTTCTCTTTCGTTCTCACCATAGGTGGGAAGTTTTAGCCATCTTACTCCTTTCACTCAGATTGGGCAGAAGAATCTGTCTGAGATAAATGGACAGGTATTGTTAGATACCTGAAAAAGACAATATTTTTCTTACCAATAATAGTATGATATAAAAAATGAATAACCTGAAATACATTTTCATCACTCAAGATTGAAGTAGGAAAAAGTCCCGTCTCTCTATTCCCTCTCTCTCTCTCTCTGTCTCTCTCTCTGTCTCTCTCTCTCCCTCCCTCTCTCTGTCTCTCTCTCTGTCTCTCTCTGTCTCTCTCTCTCTCTGTGTGTGTGTGTGTGTCTGTCCGTCTCTCTCCCGCTCCCTCTCCCTCTCCCTTCCTTCCTTCCTTCCTTCCTGGAAACATTTTAAAAAATTGCAAGACAGATTTCAGTGAATTATAATTCTGTTAGCTCAGCCAGGAGTTTCATCTACAGTTGAAAAAAAGAAGAAACATGGTAGAGACCTTAGTTACTTTATCTTCTCTTGTATTATAATTTTAAGCATTTACTTCTCTTTTGTTTGATAGAAATGGTAATAAGAAAGAGGTAGCCTGCAAGAAAATGGTGATTGTAACTGTTCAATTTGTGACTGCATTATGCCCACACTCTTAAAACACCCACCTACTGATATGTAAAATTTCAATTCAAACCAGTACATATGAGTAAATTGCCCAGCCTCAAATTAGTTGGAATTGAACACTAAAAGCAGAGCAGAAGATAAAACACCTGATAACTTATTTTTCAGAACTTAATAAGAAGTCTTAACAACTTCCCCATAACAGGATACTCCAGCTTGTACTATACTAAATGCTCATTTCTGATGTTATTTCATACCTATTGCAACACATTTTCTGTTATTACACCTCGAAATTATATTTTGTCTTTGGCCAAATCCATTCCATTACTTTAAAATGAATAAAAATCAACCAGACCCTACTATAATTTATGCAGATAGAAAAATATATTACTCATATTACACCAATATTTGTATTAGATCAATGTTCTATACTCTAAATTCTAATGCAAATACATGATAGATAGATAGATAGATAGATAGATAGATAGATAGATAGATAGATAGATAGATAGATGAAAGAGAGAAGAGAAGAGAAGAGAAGAGAAGAGAAGAGAAGAGAAGAGAAGAGAAGAGAAGAGAAGAGAAGAGAAGAGAAGAGAAGAGAAGATGAAACAAGCTAACAAACCAAGATAAACACAAAGAAATAAACAAAGGGAACTGAAGCTGAAGTCACTCATTTGACATTTGTCATAGTTCTAAATAGAATGTAGGAGGAATTGCAGTCATTTAAGGTAAATTCAAGGAAAATTTTGGAGAGCAGGAAAACTTGGATGCAACGTTATGATCTCTGCATTGAACCTAATGTAGATATAGTAAACCCTCAATTTTTGTTTATTATAAAATAATTACTCAATAAAATGGACAAAGTTCATTGTTTCTAAAGGAGCCTGGACAATTGAAGTTCTTTATCTTATATGTACAAACTTATAGCATTATGTAATTTTGTAACTGATGCAAATTAATAATTTGCAGTTATATATCTCAGTCATATACTTTCTTGGTTATTCTGACTTTTTGTTGTTGTTGTTGTTAAGGACACAGTGGTTTCCTTTACTGAATGTATTCTGAAGAATTAAAGTATTTCAACAAAATATATTATATTATATTATATTACATTACATTACATTACATTACATTATATTACATTACATTACATTATATTATTTGATATCTATCCAACTGCTTTTGCTAAAAAATAATCTCAAAGCTCCTTGCACTCTTAGTAAAATATTTATTTATTTATTTATTTATTTATTTATTTATTTATTTATTTATTTATTTATTTTGTATACCGCCCTTCTCCCAGAAGGGACTCAGGGCGGTGAACAGCCAAAATTAAAATACATACAATACAAAAGTTAAGATAATTAAAAAGAATTAAATCATTGGCTTCCCAATTTAAAGCCCCCAAGTCTATAAAATTTAAAATCCCAATTAAGAACCATTTAGGCTAGGCCTAATAGCCTTAACTGGTGAAAAAGCTTGCCTTCAAAAGTTCTGGGTGCCATCACTGGAGGCATTTAAAAAGAGACTGTACAGCCAGACATTTGTCTGGAATGGTATAGGGCAGTGATGGCGAAACTTTTCGGCACCAAGAGCCCAAAATGGAACACACATGTGTCCCGGAGCACCAAAAACCTGAAAACCAGCTGGCCAGTGCGCATGTGCACACCGCAGTGGTGAAATCTAATTTTTTTTTACTACCGGTTCTGTGGGTGTGGCTTGATGGGCATGGTGTGGCTTGGTGGGTGTGGCTTGGTGGGCGTGGCAGGGGAAGGGTATTTATTTATTTATTTATTTATTTATTTATTTATTTATTTATTTATTTATTTATTTATTTGTATACCGCCCTACTCCCGAAGGACTCAGGGCGGTGAACAGCCAAACAATAAAATACATAGATACAAGAAATTTAAAAAACAGATAAAATCGAATTAAATAGTTTTGGCCCTGACAAATTAAAACACCCCAATAATTTAAAACAGATTAAAATTTACATATTAAAAAAGAGGGAAAGGATTAGGCCAAGCCCGCCTGGTAGAATAAAAAGGTCTTCACAGCGCAGCGGAAGGTGCGCAGGTCTGGGATTCTTCGTATCTCCGGGGGGAGCTCATTCCAGACAGTAGGTGCCCCCACAGAGAAGGCCCTCCCCCTAGGGGCCGCCAGTCGACATTGTTTGGCTGATGGCACCCGGAGGAGTCCCTCTCTATGAGAGCGTACCCGCCGGTGGGAGGCTGTTTGTGGTAGTAAATTGGTAGTAATATTGCAAAATCTCCATTCTCACCCCAGTCCAGGGGAAGGATATTGCAAAATCCCCATTCCCACCCCACTCTGGGGCCAGCCAGAGGTGGTATTTGCCGGTTCTACGAACTACTGAAAATTTCCGCTATCAGTTCTCCAGAACCTGTAAGAATCTGCTGGATTTCACCCCTGGCATGCCGGCCAGCTGGTCTTCAGGTTTCCGATGCACACATGTGCACTAGCCAGCTGGTCTTCACATGCCCTGGAGCGCTGGAAATCCGAAGACCAGGTCATCGAGCTGGCCATGCCCATCCTGATCATGCCCATCTAGTCCCCAATGTCAAACACAACCCTGATGCAGCCCTCAATGAAACCAAGTTTGACACCCCTGATTTAAAACATAATAAGAATACAAACAAATGTAAGGAATGTTGACATCATCATACCCTTTTCTTCAAAAAGGAAGCTCTGATTTTTCACATGTTCCTTAAATTCTTCTAATATGTTTGAATTAATGTGATGAGAAAAAGGCAATCTTTTTATGCCATATGTGGAAGATCAATAGCTAGTGCCCCGAGTTTATAGCATAATTAAAATGTGGGAACAGGAATAATTTTCTTTTCAGTGCTTCGGGCTAAGGATAGCATTATCAACAAGTCGAAAGAATATGATAGAACATTTTTACTGTTTATGAATGACGCAAAAGGCTTTATGGGTTTTACAAGTAATTTCACAAGTTGAGAAAGAACAAGGGAGAATAAGCTACAACATTGGCAAAATTACTACTTTGCTTTCCGATCTGCAAATGTGTGAATGTGTATAAGAATAACTCATAGCATCTAATTTACGACTCTTTTTGCAAAGCTGTGTGATGCATGCACTATGTGCTGGCCAGTTGGGATATATGTTGTTGGGTATAGTATGCTAGAGTAAACTCTATACATCAAAGTGAGTGGGCCAAATAAGCAGAGGATAACAGACAGAATAACAGAGTTGGAAGGTACCTGGGAGGTCTTCTAGATCTCCTCCCTTCTCAAACAGGTGTTGTGGCCCCGCCCTCTGAGCCTGTCTCATCGGAGGAAGAAAGCTCCGAGCATGAGGAAGAGGAGTCAGCCAGGCCTCCCTCTCCAGGCCCCTCCCCTCTGGCACTGTCTCAGGTACCAGCCGAGGGAGAGGAGATTAGCAAGGAGACAGGTGGCTCGAATGAGAGCGAGGGAGAGACATCATTCCTGGACGCACACCTCCGAAGGCGTGATAAACGATTGCAGCAGCTCAGGAGGCGTGCTAGGGATTAGAACTGAGTCACTGGACCACACCCCAGAGACTATATAATAGAGGGTGGTGGCCAGCGATCCCTGTGACGAACAAAAGTAAACCTTGGATAGTCACTAAAGCCTCGTCCGGAAACTGCTGAGAGGAATATTATTCTGATTGGACTTTTGTGCGCTAAGTATTTTATCTTTCTGTTTTGTGGAAATAAATGCATTTGGCAGACGGTGTGTAAATCGCTGTCAAGTTGGAGATAAAGACCTGGGTGTGTGCCAAAGTGTTTCCTTAACCCTCGGCTGGCTGTGTTTGTGTGTGTGTGTGGACGGGGACAGATCAACAGGAGACTACATACCATTTCAGACAAATGACTGTCCACTCTCTTCTTAAAAACCTCCGGTGTTGGGGCACCCACAACTTCAGGAGGCAAATTGCTCCACTGATTAATTGTGCTAACTATAGGAAAAGTTCTCCTTAGTTCTAGGTTGCTTTTCTCCTTGATTAGTTTCCATCATTTCTTGTCTTGCCTTCTGATGCTTTGGAGAATAGGTTAACAACCCCCCCCCTTCTTTGTGGCAGCCCCTCAAATATTAGAACAGTTCTATTATGTCGCCCCTAATCCTTCTTTTCACTAGACAAACCCATTTCCTGCAATCAATCTTCATATGTTTTAGCCTCCAGCCCCCTAATCATCCTTGTTGCTCTTTTCTGCACTCTTTCCAAAGTCTCTACATCTTTTTTATAATATGGTGAATAAAACTGGATGCAGTATTCTAAGTGTGGTCTTACTTTATAAAGCGGTAATAATACTTCTGCTTTAAAAAGTCAAATGCTTCCAGATTTTGCTCCCATCACCCTTAGGGATAGCCCATGTTGTAATTCAATTCCACTCTGGACATGCTGGATAACTACACTGACCATAGGTAATTTATTATCAAGGACAGTCCTTTATTTCAGAAAGCT